TTCTTTATCCGGGAACACGAACAGAGTTGGGTATTGCCACGATGGAAATTCCATTCACTCAATTACCTGCTGGAAATTTAAGGTTCTTCTTGAAGGTTCAACTTGTAGCAGTGTCGGCAAACGATGCTGTACAAGACATGAATTAATTAGACCTTATTCACTGCGGATTACGGAGAAGAGTGGAGTGTGGTGAATCAGAGCGTTTGCTTCACAATATAGTCGGAAGACGATAATTAAATAAATTTGTTGAACATAAACACAACTCGTCAACCAGACAAAACCATTTCTAGTTCTGTGAGTCAAAAGGAAAAGTTATCTGATTGATAGGTACATTTGAACGTTTGGCTTCAGTGGAGCATAAACAATGTCTGGTTTGTCACCTTCTCGAGAGATCACGAAGAATCCGCTTAGAACACGAAAGGAATTTGGAATTCAAGGGACTTTTGTCGGGAAAGGATGATATTCGAAGGTATTTCTCTCTCCCCCTCTTCATATAGTATACATGGTTTATACGTATGTCACACACATCTAGATCCAGACAAATCACGGTAAAAAATATTTTTAACAAAGAAACAGTTCTATGATTTGCTCGTGGGCGAAATGCTGCCAGATTGCCCAGGACAAAATGATTGAATTCTTTTTAGCGGTATCCACAACCAGAGCCTTTGACTAGCCAGAGCCCTACTTACAAAGCAACCGGGCTGTCAACGAAGGATCGCACGACTTTCAGACGGGGTCTAACATCTAGGATGTCAAATTTATCTCGATACCCAATTGATCCGGTGACCACTGCCACAACCAGGAAGGTTGTTTGTGGTTCAACCACCTCTTCTTGGTTAATTTGGAATCAGAGTTTTTAGCCAACTCCCCTAAGTGAATTGGCCGTGGTTCATCAACCCGGATATTGGCCTTTCATCTTCTGACTTGGGTGGAAGAGTAATTCCGCCACGGTAAGGTAGTGAGTAGGGCTTTTTCAGCAGAGGTCGTTTGTAACGCTTGGTCGTATAGGAGCAGTTCACGAGGTGCCAGGGGAGGTCGACCAGTCACAATCCGAGGCGCACCCGGACTATCTGAGGCTTTCGGGCACTTAAGTATTTCCCACCTGGGGTTGTGGAGGAATCCAGAAAATTAGGCAAAATTTTCCTCATTCAAAGATGATGACGGTTTGATTGGAACTTAGACAAGTTAGAGTTTTATTTCGGAGAAAGTCAGCATTCATTAAACAGGTGTTACTCGCTGCTGAGACCTTTTGTTCCGGAAGTGGTGCGGTTTGAAAAAAGACAGATGCCTAGTTGTCATTCGGAACCAGTGATTCATACGGTTCGACGATCAGATATTGAAATCTATACCTCTATCCGAAGCTAGAAAACAACGAATATATCGCGGTTCATCAGCGGTCAGTTTACTCGAAGGTCAAACGATACATCTACAGATGAATAATACAGATTGTGACGCACTCAATAAGAGAATTTTCATACGCAGCGGGGGTGGAAGACGATAAATCATTGGATTTCAACTGAATAATTGTCTTCATCATATACAATACTTGGACAAATGGAGTTTTACAATTCCAGTCGCAATCTCTTCCATATTAGGGAAAAATTATTGTTATTTTTTTCGTGTGAAACCCTGGCACTTGTGTCGCAATATATTGTGTGATCTCCAAATCAACTTGGATTCAATTGGGAATGTCCTGAGGACATCGCACCGCTGTCTGTGTCGTGCATAGTTCCCATACTCGTGTGTGTGTATAGATTAAAAGAAGACTGTATGCTTGTGTACGAGATCTGAGTTCAAGCCACACGGTAATCCACACTAATGGTATGTTATTCTTACCTATCGACTGTGTCTACACTAATGGAATTGAGAATTCGACCAGAACCTTTCAAGCATACCGCTATGGTGCGTGGGGTCCAAGAAATGCCTTTGTACCGCTATATACTATAGTCCAGATTTGCAATGGAGGAGCTTAACATTTCCACTTCGGAGACCATATTTGTCGTGATATCCATGTATTGAATTTGCATTCGCAGTTTCTTTGTGATACGCATTTGGCGTTGTTTAGGGGCTGTGTGGGAAATAACAGAACATAAATTGCAATGGTTCGTGAATGCGTACAATAACAGGACAGATTCTTATGAACAAATTTTTATAATATTTAAACAATATGCACTATCTATCAATTATATCGCAGCAACCGTTTAAGCATGATTAAAATTGCGAAATCTGCCCATACTCGTGTTCAGAACGTAGTTTCAAGGGGAAAATGTTTTCGTATATTTCGTGTTATATCTCGAATCACCTTGACTCAGTCAGCGTGGATAGAGTTCTTTCATGCGGATAGATAACAAGTGCAATTCTCCCCCACTTGGGTAGATACTGGTCATCGTGTAAAACCCAAGTGAGGCATTCCGCATTATTTTTCAGGTTCCCCCCCCCCCAAACGGTCGAAATATGTCAGAATGCGTACTGTGGCCATAGTCGAGACCACATATATTACACATTTGACTCCCGAAACAAGGGGCCCAGAAATGTCTTATCCAGATTCTCCCTCTTTTTTTCCCCCTGCCCATACCATGTCACAATAACATTGATCTCTCAGACCTGGGTCACACAGGACCAACGAGGGACAACTAAAAACTCCGGAAGCACAGATCTGAGAATGTGGTATGCAACACACACACAGACAGACAGACAGACACACCGACACACATACACACAAAGTGATCGATTCCACATATTTTAGTGTTATCCTCCAAACCCCTAAGTGTAATGGCATAATTATGAGTGATTGAAAATAATTGTTCGCTTGAAATTGTGTTCTATGAGTAAGGTTACTTTTTGTCGAATTGTCTTTGGAAATTGGTCCCCCCCTCAGCTTACACGGTGATGATTGAATATGGTTGAGCAAAACGTTCACATTTTTATCGGATGTGATGATCAGCATACATACTAACCTGTCCATCCTATTAGGGACAGTGCAAATACAGTTGATCACTCCGGCGTACCAGTGGAGGTTTTGTGATACTGTCTTGAATCGAACTTGTTATTTTCAGCATTGGATCTTTTCCGGATTCCAATGAATCGTTTTCACCGTCTTTTACTGGGTTCTGATCATCAGACTTATGAGTAAGAGTCACATGGTTTTATTATTCGATAGAGAAGAGTTATGAAAGAAACGAATTTAGTTCATTGGTTTATTAAAAAGAAAAAATCAGTAATATTTTTTGCATACAATTAACATTAGACTTGGATAGAACGACTAAGTGAATTGTCATGTGTTCAAACCGGAATCGATTCATTCAGAACGGATCACCATCGACACAAAGACCACAGCTATCAATTGCAATGGTGATATCGATTTTCGGTTGACCCGATTGCATAACGTTGTGGTACAGCAAGTTGTGAGGATTCCGGTGCCACTGATGCGAGCGTCCACTGCCGAACAGGAGTTGCCCGATGTGTAGCACGTTCGACTTGAAAGTGTCACTTTGCCTCCAAAAAAGGTCTCTACTTTCTTCATAACCAGACAGAAATAAAATTGATAATCAATGCAACATCCAGTAAACGTGCAAATACAAATGATCACAAACGTGTTTGTGATTATTCATTATTAGATATACAGATACGAACGAAAAAACCTTCACATTCAAATGTAGATTTGAGCCTGTGTAGTGGAATGACTAATACACATTCCACTGTTGTGAGAAGAAGACAATATTTAATTAAGTCAGCTGAGTGGATCAGGGCAGTGCGGTGAAAACAAGTCGGCGTTAGCGAAAACTGTTATTGATCCGTAGTAGGACGGAGCCCGAGGTGACGTCACCTGAATACTCGACTGGCGGCGCGAGTGTATCAGACTGGTCTTGGCCATGCCATTTGGGTTGTACATAAGAATGCGGAGATCTGTGAACCAAAGGAGTTAGATAGCAAGAATCCTAGTGCGGATGTAAAAGCTGTGATATGCCGAATTTCGTGTTTCGTAAAGGACAGCGGTTGTGTGAAGGAGAATACGATATTGGCTGATGAAAAAAGATCACTGGGTTCTGCTGATTGATAAAATCTTAAGGTCCAATAGTGCGTGGCCCCGACCAACCATCTGTTCTTTAAATGATCGGAATCAGCATAACTATGCTATAGGATGACAGTTCTCTCGAATTTGGTAGGAGTACATACACTGTAAACCTAAAAATTCCTTCCTCTCTCTTCTTTGAGCAGTTTGCGCACCGATTCTTAATACAATCAAAAATGTTTGAGACTATGGGTAGAAGAATGAGCTCCGGTGGGAAGCTTTATAGAATAGGCACAGGAGCTACAGGGGTACATTACGAAAGCCTTTGAGACTGAGCATTGGTGAGATTATGAAACGCAAAGCTAATCATACCAATTATTCACCAATTTGGGGTTTGTCTGTCGTGTACAGGAGGTGCTTCGAAGTTTTAGGATTTGTATCTTATTGCAAATTCCGAATGAATGTGGCGTAGATTTCACATCATTCTAGGTTGGGCGACTTTTTCACCATAGTTGTATAAGTACAATGAAAACAATGGGTGATCACTGGCACGAATCTCGCTCACTTTTTTGACGCTATAGTTATGACCACTCTAGGTAGACAGCCCAATAAGTTCAGAACAGACAGGGGCACTAAAACTGTCACTGTTATATTACTTATAGTAGTAACAGCTAGACTAAATACATCTAAGAAGAAGAGCTGTGCTATCCCCATACTTATTTTACACTTATATTTGTGATATTCCCTGTGTTTCTCTTGCATGTATTTTGATATATGCAAATGAGGTCGTACTGTGCCAACCAATTTCTTAATCTGATCAAAGATCCTTCACCGACAATCTTAAACAAATTCAGTCATTCTCCTCTTTATCGGGGCTGACCCTAAACCCCAGTAAATGTATTGAGTTTTTATATGGTTTTGCTCATTCTCCGTATCCGACAGCCCCCACAGTGGTTAATAACAATCCTTTATCCAGGGTGAACTCTGTCAACTATCTTGGTGTAATCATAGATTGCAATCTTCAATGGTCTATCCNCCCAGTCAGTTATTTCTACCTTTGTTTATCAGTGTGTTTTCCCCATCTTACTCTTTTGTTCTCCAGTAATTTTTCCTGGCTCACTCAAACAGGATTTCAAAGTATTACGCCACGGTCTAACTATTATTAGCCGTATCTCTTCTATTCCTGTAAGTATCACTTAGCTTCCCGTGGGAAGTTAAGGTCCTAACCAGTT